GGAAAAGAAAAAGGAAACAAGATTAAACACAGTTAATTAAATTTGTTTCTAACATAAGCTTTCTGTTCATACAATTTGGAAAAACAGAAGACTAGTATAGTTTTAATTGCAAATCTGTTAACATAAGCATGTAATTTGTAGCTGCATAGTTCAATATGAGTCTCTAAGAGGCCAAAAATCTGGTTTTGAACGGAAGAAAGGAAAACAAACAAAAGAAACCAAGCAGCTTCAGAACTACATAAGTTGTCATTAGGGGTTGATAATAAAAAATGCAATTAACAGAACTCTTAACTCAATTTTCACTTGTAGGAGTGAAAATTTTGTCAGATGTTTTAAATATTTTTTCTTGTATTTATAATCCTGTGTAATTTTTTGCATATTCAAACCCTGAATGAAACTTGTTAGATTTCAGAAAAACAAAGGACTATCAAATCAAAGCTCAAAGCTTTGGTTCAACATGGCTTTTGCATAGAGCTGCAGCTAATTATTTGACCTACTACTTGGACAAACTTTTGGAACATTTCATTCAGATGTTCACATGCTTATTTATCTTAGCCTTGTGAGTTTATTCATGCTGAAAGGGACCTTGGGCTTTCCAAATCCTTCCTGAACTCAGTGGAAGGACTTGCGCTGCAACTGACAGGTGTTGATCCATGCCGTTAATCCTAGTACCACCAAAATGAAAAGCATGAGTCCCATTGAATTCAGTGGACCTGTGAACTAGTGATAGGTAGGAAACTGATAGGAGAATATCCCTCTGTGAATGAAAAAATAAATCCTTTTATTTTGTTTCCTTTTCTTTTTCTTTTTTGTTTCCTGCACGTGTAGCAAATATAAAATAGGAGAGCTTTACATCTTATCAAATGCATTTAATTTTTAAGAGGCTTAATAAGGCAAAAATATGTCCTGGGTCAGACTGGTGACTCACTCAGAGAAAGGGAAAGGTGGAAAGGTGGAAAGGTGGAAAGGTGGAGGGAAGGAAGGAATGGGAGAAAGAAAAAAAAATTCTCATTCATGTTTAGTGGCCTTCAAAACCAACAAAAGCTAGTGACTATTTTTCCCACTGGTCACAGGTCTGATATCTTCCAACTCAAGTTGCTGCTCTGCTTTCTTTTCAGAGTTTTCCTAGAAAGCTCATTAGTAGCTGATAAATAGTTAAGTACCACTACCACATAGGAACTTGGTCCTGTAAAGTGCTAGGTGCTCTTCCCCATCAAATACAATAATTAGAACTGAGCTCACTTGGTTGAAATCCTGTATTCCCTGTGCAAATTACAATAAATGCCATCAAAATTAGGTAATGCTACCAAATTATTGACTGCTTAGTATGTAATCTGTCAGCATTCCTCAGAGAAGGAAAAGAGCCTCTCTCTCCCACATGTGTGCAGTAACCAGACCTTGCATATTCTTACTAGGCCAATTAATAGTCCATTCGTGTCCACTGGAGCAACACCAGAAAAGAAATAAAGTTACTTCTTCTTTTCTTTCTCATTCAGTAAAGGGTAGCCTGATGATCAGGGAGAGGACAGATGTGCATTCACAGGAAACCTAGTCACTGCATTCTACCTGGTATGGGATTACCACTTCATCCTCCATCTATATTTCATGAAAAAAAGGCAATGTAGGAGTCTAAAACTAGCAAAAACTTAAAAAATATGAATCCCAGGTGGAGATAGGTGGATTCTATGCTCAGAGAACTATTCTGAGAGGGCAGAGCTAAAGACTGTCCTGTTCAGTGTAGACCACTGGTTTATGTAGCATCTGCCTCATTACGTTCTCTTTCTTGATCACCAACTGCTATTGTGTATTACACTTCATCCAGCTTAATTGAGAGGTCTGTATTTACCATTTGTAAGACACATCAGGGTTTGGCGCTGCAATGCTCAGTGCTGTCCTGACTAACGATACATTAAAACAAATCTTGCAGTGGTGTATGAAGACATTATTTTCCTCTGCTGCCTGCTTTTTTATCCCTCTGACAGATGCTACCTCCCTTCTTTAATCCTCCCACTGCTAGAGACTCGATGGAAAGGTATGTGTGTCTGCTTTATGGATGTCCTGGCTGGCAGTATAGTCTTCCCTCAGATGCCGCTTATTTTGCACTGCAGTGGACATCACATCCTCTTTTCTGCTTATCATACTCTGAGACAATACATTCTGGCAATATCATACAGGGGTGTGGATGGAAGGGTAATGTCTGAACTGCTGCAGGGAGAGTTTGACAGCGATTTGCTGTCAAACCTCTCACTCCTTCTGCTGAGATAGTCCTTCATGTACGTGATAAATGAAGATATATACAGCTGGTAAAATCTTCAGCCTTACTTGGAGGGCTGGTTAGAAAGCATTTTAATCCTGCCTTAGTTTGGAGAGTTCAGGGCATCTACTGCATTTAAAACACACTAGTGTTTGTTCTGACCTTCGCAGTGGGGCCTGACTGAGACTGAAGGCATAAGCAGGGCAAGCGCAGTCCCCTCTCAAGAGGAAATTGAGTCACTTTGTATATCCAAGAGACAAATGTAGCGTTAGGAGAATGAGAGACTAGAGATTGGACTGAAGTGCTGGAGCTTAGTCTGCACTTTGAACAGAGGCCCTTAGGACCCACGGCTGAGACCTCCTGTACTACTGATGCTGGAACTGCCGGAAGGGGGTCTGTGCTGGGAACTTACTGTGGGAATCAAGGATTTGAATGAAAAATTCAGAAGGATCATAACTAAGCTTATAGGAGACTGGATGGCGGAATGAATAACCAAATTACTCATTTCTCCCAAATTTGTTAATTTTCATATTACAAAATATATTTCTGGTGCTGAAATTCTACCTGGGAATCCACATTCCATAGTAAGAAATATAAATAAAATAATTTTGCCCTATTTATTTTATAGGTGTCATCCTTTGGTGTTTTTACTCTACAGTATGCTGTATTCATAATAACTGTGGACAACATATATATGTGTCACTTTTTTAAAAAAGAACTATTTCCATCTACATCTACTTTTTTTTTCTATTTTTTTTTTTTGCATCTCTGATATATTTTGAAGAAGTATAGCTTGTTTCTCAGATGGATTTTGGCCCAGATCTATTTTGTTTTTTGTTTTAGTTTCGCCACTCACAGTAGTTCCCTCTCTCTTATTCTCCCTTCAGGGACAGATCAAGTTTGTTAACATTTAAAAAATGCTGGAAAATACTGGAAAACTTACAGGTGTTCAGTAAACTGACTTGCTCAGAGTTGTGGCAAAACATGTTGACAAATTAAATCCCTCAACTGAGATGGTATGAGTTTCAGTCCCCTTTGCATCCAAAAATCTAGTTTTAATGAGGACTATACAGTGGGATTGAGTGCGCCCTCAGCAAGTTTGCTGATGACACCAAGCTGTATGGTTCGGTTGATACGCTGGAGGGAAGGAATGCCATCCAGAGGGACCTTGACACGCTTGTGAGGTGGGCTGATGCCAACCTCATGAAGTTTAACCATGCCAAGTGCAAGGTCCTACACCTGGGTTGGAGCAATCCCAGGCACAGCTACAGGTTGGGCAGGGAAGAGATTCAGAGCAGCCCTGTGGAGAAGGACTTGGGGGTGTTGGCTGATGAGAAAATGAACATGAGCCGGCAGTGTGTGCTTGCAGCCCAGAAAGCCAACCGTATCCTCGGCTGCATCAAAAGGAGTGTGACCAGCAGGTCAAAGGAGGTGATCCTGCCCCTCTACTCTGCTCTTGTGAGACCTCACTTGGAGTATTGTGTGCAGTTCTGGTGTCCTCAACATAAAAAGGACATGGAACTGTTGGAACAAGTCCAGAGGAGGGCCACGAGGATGATCAGGGCACTGGAGCACCTCCCGTATGAAGACAGGCTGAGGAAGTTGGGGCTGTTCAGCCTGGAGAAGAGAAGGCTGCGTGGAGACCTCATAGCAGCCTTCCAGTATCTGAAGGGGCCCTATAGGGATGCTGGGGAGGGACTCTTCATTAGAGACTGTAGTGACAGGACAAGGGGTAATGCGTTAAAACTTAAACAGGGGAAATTTAGGTTGGATATAAGAAGGAAATTCTTTCCTGTTAGGGTGGTGAGGAACTGGAATGGGTTGCCCAGGGAGGTTGTGAATGCTCCATCCCTGGCAGTGTTCAAGGCCAGGTTGGACGAGGCCTTCGGTGATATGATTTAGCGTAAGGTGTCCCTGCCCACGGTAAGGGGGTTGGAACTAGGTGAACTTAAGGTCCTTTCCAACCCTAACTATTCTATGATTCTATGATTCAGAACTGAACATATTATTTTCCCAGGCTTTTCTGAAATAATTTTTTTTTTTCCAGCCAGCTGCTGACAGACAGCAGAGCTTCTTTTTACCTCAGAAAGGCTATTGAATCTCATCTCTGCAACGACAAGGTTTCTGTTAATTTGTCCACTGTTTTCTTATCTAAAGTTTGAAACCACTCCTTCCCCGAACTAATATAATGGTAGACAATAACAATAAAACAGAACTGTTCACCGTTAATATGCCATTGCCAGTCTCTTGTTAAGACTCAGTTGGCTAGGGCTGAACCCAGTGATCCTCTGTTGATGCACTCTGCCCATGAGCAATTCCTGAGTAAAGACTATGGGACAACAAACTGATACCTATGTGCTACAGTGAATTTGTTGTGGGTGCATGCCTGTACCTGTATCAAGGCCCACTGAAGTCAGCATGCACCTGAGCCCAGCTCGAAGCCTGCCTGTGCAGGGCTCATCACAGGGTGATGGCACCAACAATACAGTGAAAGCTGAAATAAGGAAAAATCCTGAAATTTCCTAAGACAAATTTGTTTCTTTCCTTAAAGCTACCTCTATCCCGCAAGTGAGTTTTGCTTGTGCTTTGGATAGTCACTTGACAGGTTTCACTGTGTCAATTTGTGCGCATATACATAAGCTGTCTTCAGCTCTCACCATAAGCAGGTATCTTCTGTGCAGAGAGGCAACATTTACAAAAAGGATATCCATTATCATGGCAAATACAGAGAGAGCAGAAGACAATGTCCTTGTCCCTCACTTTTTAATAGAAGAGTGTAACTATATAAGCAGAGTGCCACATCGTGTACCAAATGAAACCTGACATCTCTGCTTTTGAAATACAGCTCTTATTCTTTCCTCTCTAATCACTTAGAATAACATTATTTTTAAACCTTGAGAAAGAATTTCTTGACAGTCTATGTTCGGTTTGTATCTATCATTCCACAGATTCTTTGGCAGCTGATGGCTTGGTTTCACCATTTATAGAACTATAACTTCATTCTAAAGTTTTGTTGGGTTTTGTCTTTAAATTATGACATGCAGAAGGACAGCCTTCACCTGCTATATTTTCAAAAAAAAAGATACTGTCTCTTTAATGAAAGAAAAGCATCAATATAATGTATTACCGAATGCAAACGCAATAAGGTATAACATATAGCTCTGGTTATGTTATATGACATTTGGCTTAGCAGTATTAACATATTGCACAAAATCTGGATTTTCCCTATTGCAGAAAATAAGACATGAAAGACATGGGAAATTTCTCTCTTCCATATGATCATAAAATAAATATTCTATTTTTCCTTTTTCTTCTCATCAGTCATTGGCAGAAATATTTTAGTATTACTCCTTTGTTAAGCCAGTTCTTTATCATGTATGTATTAGGCATAGAGTACAAGGAGAAATGGAACAAGATGGAAGTTGAAAGTGGCAAGATGCAAATTTATTCTGGAAAAAAAAGTAATATGTGCACAATATCAAGCATGCTTAGGTTTATGCCAGGAAAACTATTACGAATGAGGAATGGATGGAATGGAATTTTGCATCATACATGATTACATGTTGCTTAACTTCACAAATAGTCCTCTTCTACTCCTGATGTCCCAGTTGCCACCAAGAGCAACTGCATACCACACTGCTGGAGTGAAAATGGCAACAAACTCTCCAGCAGTAGTCACCTCTGCAACATGAGTCTCTGTTTCAAAAAATTAAAGAGATAGACCTCAAAAAGATGACAGAGAAAATTCACAGACCGTTGAACTGCAGGCACTAACTCCAAGGTGGGGAGAGGGAGAGGAGTTTATTACATCTTGTGTAATAATTAAAAGTCTGTAATTGTTTTCTGCTTCATTTTGCCTCAGTTTAATTGGCTACTCTTGCATGTGATGATGTTGTCACTGTTTTTCCTTATGTCTCTCATATTGTATGACATGCGACTGAATGTAGCCTAGCAGTGGAGGAGTCATATTTTTCACTGACACGACTCAAAAACATTTTACTAGAAAAATAAGGGATGAAGGATGAAAAAGAGCAGGAGAGAAGAAAGAAAATGTCTTAAGGGTAACTCTCTATAATTCACCATGAGGCAAAACAGAAATAATAACTCTTCTTCCTGTGCCATTTCAATCGGGATGAACCAGACTTGCTACTCTATTGGTACAGTGTAAAAATAGATGACAGTGAGTAACGGTGTGAACAAAAAGATGAGAAACATCACAAAAATGGATGTCGGATGGCCTTTGCACAGCAGAGGTAGATAAAAGTTATAACAAACTGTTTACTGACCATGTACACTTACTAGAATTAAGAGGTCAGTTGAACAAGAGCTCACCTAGTTAAGAGCTTTCCCAGTAGTGTGACTCATCAGCTGTTGTACACTACCAGAGCACTGCCCAGTTATTGCTCCATCACTTTTTAATAACATCTCTGTCCTTTCAAAAGTCTACATTCTACCATTAGTTAAGGCTTTTTCATTTGCATTTCTACATTTTCCCCAATTCTGCATCAATTTAATATAATTAATACATGTGCCTCTAACAGAAAATAAAATAAAAAGCACCATGTTTTATTGAACAAAATATAGCATGTGCAAGGAAGGGAAGGGAGGAATTATAGAAACAAACCAGTGCTGAAGAATTTTGCATTAGCTGGTGCTTTTTGTTGCCATGTTTGCACAGGTCATTTTAGGCTCCTCAGTCCAGGCTGTAGTAAAACACTATCAAAACAAATACTTTTGCAAAATATTTGAGCTTTTTGCAGCTTAACATGTGCATCTTGAACCGCTTAAGCAGCATGGTCATCTTTTTTTTTTTTCTCCAGAATTTAACAGACCATAAAGTGTATACAAAAAAGCATTATGCACCAGTGATTAATTGTTCTTACAACATTAGTATTTATCAAGGGGTATTTCATATCTAGAAAGTAGGTAACTATATTTTATTTCCTAAGAGAACATTTTCTATAGTTTTCCTTCATCTCCCAGCTACACAGCGAACATCTCTAAAGTGCACTTCCCAAGTGTAGTTAGAGAATAGGAAGGAATGTAAAGTTTTTAAAAACAGCCCTTATTAACTTTTCCTTCCATTGATTCTACTGTAAACTCTAAAAAGCCTTTTTAAAAAGCAAATTCTCATACACTCAGCAGGTGAAATGTTCCCACAAAAGTAAACAAATTAAAAATCACCCCAAACAATGAAAAATCAGCAATCATATTACAATCTTTTGTCTTGACTACTCATATCCTGGAATATCCTTACTAGTTTTATTGCACATTTATGAAAATGGTTGTCAATATATTTAAAAAAAAAAGTTTCTTTATCTGTGCTAACACATTCTTGTGCACCCTTAATAGCTAGATTAACTTTCCACAACACGTAGATACTAGAAAAACAATGAACTCAAAACCGAAAAGATTCTTTGTATTGTAGATGCTCAAAGGCTTCTAGTGTAATTTTTTGAGACAAAAAGACTTGGATTTTGGAAGCTTTTTACTCCCATTCTTCATGAAAGCTGCTGGTTATATGACAGCAGGAGAACTCAAAACGTAATTCACAATGAATGCCAATCCTTCACCTCCAATATGAAGGCTTCCCAACTACTCAACTTGCTGAGCATAACTGGTTTTACATAGCATATCTAAAAAAGGCTGCTCCTGTTCAACTGACCAGTGAGAAAGGACTGGACTTCTTCAAAACGGGTATTGGAGCAACAGTTTGTTATATATTTCTTTACATTTTTTAACTGTCCAATCCCACCTTGTAAGGAGAGCACTTGTTTGTTCAGCTAAAAGGAACCTCCTTCATGCTCGTTTTGGGTTTGCTCAGTCAACTGGTTTGTGCAAGTGGCAGAGGCACACTGGAATTGTGTACCCATTCATTGTGATTACACAGACAGAAGCAAATGTATGTTGTCTGTGACTGGAGAAGGGAAAGGGAAAGGAGATGAATGGCTCCCATGGGTAAGAGGACAGTTAGGTTGTTTTGGTTTTTTTTGTGGTTGGTTTTTTTTTTCGTTTTTTTTCTTCTTTTTTATTTTTTGTTAAATTTTGTTGTTCTTTTTGTGTTTTTTTTTTCTTGTTTGCAGGTTTTTTTGGTTTTTTTTTGTTTTTTGTTTTTTTTTTTTGTTTGGGTTTTTTTTTGTTTTTTTGCTATGTCATGGAATCATAGCAGTCATTCCTCTAATAGAAACTGACAGGACATAAAAGACAGAACTATCAGATGAACAGACACAATGACTAGAAATATATTGACGGAGAAAAGACTTAATTTAGCTTTGAGAAACTGTCCCAAAAAATAAAATCCTGTATTAACAAGTGCAAAAAACAAACAAAAAAAGAAACTCCAAACATTAAAACACAGTGTATAAAATGGTGTGAGAAATTTAAGTCACAAAACAGCCTTTTAGTCAATAAAAAGCTGTGTTCATGTGTCCTTGTTATTTGGGTAGTGGCCCATTCTTTTCATTTTACCCAAAAGGTCAATCAAGAAGAGATCTGAGGGTAAAGTACTCAGTCCTTGCTATTTTTGACTGAAGCCATTTGGGCCTGTTGTGTTTCTATCATATAAGTTGAATCCTTTCTTTTATTCTTCATTGGTTGAATTATCTTCTAAAGTTGTTATGCCCAGTCCTGTTGAGTTCTGTGCTGCTGAGACTGTAAGTACTGTATGTAAGAGCATTAATACAAGAACACACAGTTTAAGTCTGCTGTTACACAGTCTCGATGCTGATGAAACTGTGAGTGATGTCCTGTGACAAATTGTTGAGCCACTTGTTTTTATAGTCCCTTTGGATTGATGATCTGATAATAGTCCCCATCTGACATCACAGCATTCTGGTTCTGCATTGGTTGGATAGTTTTCATAGAGCCCTGCAGGGTAAATACAAGAAAAAACAACCATCAGGCATCAAAAGACGGGCAGAAGCTGGTAGCACAAAGGAACAGCCAATAGGTTAGTCTAAGCTAAGAAATCCACATCTTTGAGAGAGCCTGAGGCCCTCAGAACACTGGCCATTTTGTATAATTAAAGTTGTTGAAGGGATATGCATTATCTAACAGGAAGCAGCATCATAAAATCATTTAACAGAAGTATGACATTGAGCATGGTTGTGTAAAGAAATGGCATTAAAAAGTAATTACTGATGTTTGAATTATAAAGATATTTGAATTCTTCCTTTTTGGGAAGTAACTGATCAAACCAGACATTTCCATAAAACTTGAAAGGACCTTGAAATTATTGCTCAGTCTGTGAGCACATACTAGCAATATTACTGCCCACACAAACATACACATTAAATAACAAATAATTGATACGCCTACAATATTGACAATATTGATTGTCAAACTAATACAGGTCAAACAGCTGTACAGGAACAGCTTCAAACAGAATTGTGCAGAGTGTACTTCTTTACCCTACCTCATCTGAGGTGCTTCATCTGAAGTGCTCTTTTCAGCATATCCCAGAGACGAGAACAATCTTTCCCTGCCATGCATCAATCAGATTGCTTGATATGTCTGACTATACATCCAGGGCCTTTCTGCCTTTGGAACTTTATTGAGTTTCTCAGACTGATCTGATTATGAATTTTTGAACAGTTAGGAATTCCATCATTTCCAAAAGATGCAACTGTCTTTTTGGAAATTGTCAGTGCTGTCTGCATTGCTATATAGGACAGTAACATAACCAGAGTATTCAATTTGTTTCTTACATATATTTTTTTTCTACAAGAACTTAATTAGTCTGTTTAATTAATAGTCACATTCAAGAATCATAGAATCATAGAACAGTTAGAGTTGGAAAGGACAAATACTTTTTCTCAATTAATCATAGAATAAATTTTGCAGTAAATAATTACTCTGTGGTAGTGCTAGGTTTCACTAGACAAGAGTCCTATATATACTGAAATATTAGGATAAAGATTTTGAAAGCAGTTACATAATTGTTATAATTTATAAATTAACTTTACTTCTTGGAACAAGAATTACATTTTGTGTAAAGTATCACAGCAACGATAACACTTTCAAAAAGCAATGTCTGTAAGTTTAGCCATAGCATCCTTAGGTCCAAGCATCAGACTGCTTGTATTTTGTGAATAACCTGTAAAAAAAAAGCAGCACACCTTTAAATAAGACAAAACTGAACTCTTTTTTTCCTATTTCTATATTATTGATCTGCAACTAAAAAAGAAAAGTGCATTGGGTATGCTGAGCATGTTAAAATGGAGATTAAACCTAAACTGGCACTCTTTTACATACCTGATACAATAGTCTACCATGTTATGTGTTATCCAAGTAAAGCTACATTTACTTTTTAATTCAACCAAGTTTTTAAAGATACAAGAATGACAACAGCTTGTCTGATTTTCTGTAAAGTTAGGGTTTACTTTGTAGGAAATAAGCCTATTTTTTTGCACCTATGCAGTCAGACACTTAAGGCAGAGCATCAGCACTTGAAAATTATTTATTCTCTATCAGATCATCAATGAATGTACTTCACATTTTTTAAGAGATTGTTTTGCATTTTGGAACTTGTGGATAGTTGTTTATTACGAGTATAATAAAGCAGTCTTACTCCTAACTTCATATTTTCTGTGACACATCTTTTGGTGTTTGCTTGCAGAAGTGTGTTTTTAAACATGGTAAAATACAGGAAGTGCCTCCTAAAGCAGGTAATTATATGATCGGTTCTGTGACTGCAGTAGCTCAAACTGTTAGTGGTAATTAAAGAGACACAGAGAATGGTTAATGCTTTGATCCCACTGAGGTTTGTTTACTATTCAGACTATATTTCCAGTCTTTCTTGTTATAGGAAAACTCAGACTTCCCTTGAAATCAAAGCCTATATGTAAAAGCTGGCTATCAAAAGGTATTTAAATAGTTCATATGCACTTACTGAATTATAAATAAATTGAAGACAACTCACGTTTAAAGCTGCATTGAACTTGTTCCTTGATGCAAAATTACATTTCCTCTTTATTTCAATTCAGCAATTGAATTTAGGTTTTGAAATTGTAGTTACATATTTAATAATAAATTAACTACAGAACCACTATTCACATGACAGTTGCAGAACATTTATATAAATTCAGTCAGAGCTTTTGCACTGAGATAATAAAACTTCATGATTGTGCTTCATCACATAGTTGTTTGAAGACATAATTATCAGTTTTGGCCCCTTGGATCTAATCAGTTTACTCAGTCAAAGAGTTACAAACCTGTGACTTACCAGAAACCCTGGAAGGCTGGCTACATCAGCCTTGGAAAAACAAGGAGAAAAACCCCTAGTTTGTTCTTTTATAAAAACAATTTATATGGATACAGAGTTTGGGGTAAGAAATCAAAAGGGTATCATCTTTACCCATCAAACCACCAAGGCTTCTTTCTTCCTCTTCTGTCTTTATCGTTCAGTTTGTAGACATCATTACTCTGTACTACTTGGATGTTCAGAAATTGTATTTTTGAGACTGACTTACCAACTGTTACTGGCTCAAAACCTAATTTGCTTTTCCCTTTTCACTTAAAACTCTCTGCTCTGGATCTCCATTTCCCAACTTTTTTCAGCACTCGCTCGTATTTCACCAGCAAAAATCTTGGTCCAGGTGGATGTTGATCTTTATCAAAGATTAGAATTTGCTAGGATACTTTTTGGTATCAAACCATTCTCCAGGCCGATATGCTGTCACTCATGGAGGTCATGAGGATCTCTTTGCTTTTTAACCAGATAGTTTTTTCGCATGTAGATAACATTTTGATGATCAACACAGCAGTTATATCTGTAGGGAATGTGTGCCACTAATGCTGATGAAAGAATTAGGGCTACTCATTTGACTGAGATTATGTTAATGGAGACTTGACTGTGGCTAAGCCCCATGTATTCTGCTCAGCTGACTCATACTGGAAGAAAAAGGAGTGACAGCACCAGCTTCATGTTCACTTTCTGCAGAAACAGCTTTGGGGGAAAATCAGCAAACTGCAAATAACCTTTATACAAGAATTAAAAACAAAAGACTGTCTATGCATGCATTGTCTGCTGATCAGCTAGATCACCAGCTAACTCAGGGAATGCTGTGGTTTCTGCCTGAGCACTTTAATTTCGTTTGCCCAGGAAGCAGCATGCAAAACAGGTGGTTGCATTTCCACATCTCACCCCAACACTATCAGGATGTGTCATGCTCATAGTTGGATCTGTATCTGTAGCAGTTGGTCTATCTTGGCCTGCTTCTTGATTTCTTTGCTACAGAAAGAGCTATGGAGCCATAGTACTCTGCATCAAAGGAAACTGGTCTGAAAACTGGTCTGATCGATATATTTGTTGTCATTGATGGGTAAGTATTTTGGAAAGCCACAGAAATAAAACAGACCTTATGGTATGTTATGGTTCTTCCCCATTTTCTTTCTGTAGAACTCTAAACTGCGGTCCTTTTTAGCACAGATTTCTGATTATTTTGAGAGGCATACCAAGCTTCTTGTGCTTAAAGAAAATACCATGAACTAGAAGAAACCAGATAAGCAGATGTGGTATACCAGAAGTTTTGAATACTTCATTTTATTGTGAAAGCCAAAATAAATAATGTCTGCCAAGACTGATCCATCCAGCAGTTACATCATTGTATCAGTGAATGCAAATACTCTGCATGACATTTCTCCTTCTGAAGAATTATTTCAGAGATTTCAATATTAACATTTTCCAACTACAGAAGGCAAAAGAACACATTAGATATTATACGACTAGATTTCACTGCTTGCTTACATCTGATCTGGAAGCCAGCACTCTTCAGTCTTATCCAGATGGTCTTCTCAACTTCTCTGTGACACATTATGATGCTTCTGTTTAAGCATGTATTTTATACCCTTCATATTATAAAAAGTAATAAAATGAAATACAGAAGAAGGTTTAAAGATAAATTATTCTTTAGTTAAGCAGATTTTTCTTAAACTGGTGAATACGGCTGTTCAGCTCTTTTGAAAAGGCTAATTTACTCAGACTCGACGCCAGTTGTTGAAAGAGATCTGGGTTGATGTAGGTTGGTTGGTTGTTTATTTTTTTTTAACACTGTATGTTGGTTATTTCAGACAGTTGCCCCTGGAACATCTTCCTGTCTGTACGTGTCCACATTTAAGAAAAATACATTGTGTTTCCTCACCATGAATGGATTTTTTTTCCCCCTGAAATACGTAGAGGAGCAAATTCCTCCTGCAGTTGTAAATCAATATTATAACTACAAAACTGACTGAGCTGCTGCAAGTCAGAAAAATAAATGAGTAGCTGACTCTCAAGGTTATATAATGAACCTTTTTAGATCTGCTGAGATACAGGATGAGGGTAAGATAACTTGATGCTTGCAAGCTTTTGGCTTTCCCTACCCACACCCCCTTCCTCTTTTGCTTCTATTATGTACAATTTTTTATCAAAAAGATTTATTACTATGATATGATAGGAGTCATACATATATAAGTACTGTGTTATCATAGAAAGTTCAGGGATATGAATAGGTTAATTGTCTGTATTGTTTTTATAGGAGAAGAACATTTGCAGCTAATAAACTTACTTATTCATGGGAAAGCCCCAACATTCAAGACTAGAAAAGCACTAAACTCAAAAAGATGAGCTATTAGATTGACAGATTCTGCTTGTAAAACCATGTCAAATTTTCCTTGCAGACAGATCCACAGTAACTATTTAAACCATGCTTGTCAAACATAAATGGGATTTGTCCTGCTAGCTGTGTTAGCTTAGTATTTTGATATTTTAGGACCTACTAAGAGGTGTAGGCAGGAGGCAAATGACACATAATTATGAGTTATTTTTAGAGTAAGAATTTGGATCAAGTATATACTTTTTTGTCTGAGTTTGCCAAGAACAACATAAA